ACCATCTTAGCTGTAGAGGGCACAGCATCACTGGGCCTCATGTGGGATCTGAACCGGGGCCCTGCTGCTCAGAGCTGGCGTCCCAAACCAACTCTTAACCAATGCGCCACTTGACTAGCCCTGCAGTTATTTTTGTATACAGCTCTTTTCATCTTTTACTGTGAGTTGCCAAAGGGGAGGAAATATGCTTAAATTATTCTTGTACCCAGAGCTTAGCAGAGAGTGTGCTTAAAAAGTGAGCAGACAAATGGATTTTTTTTTTTTAGTGAGGCAGGGAATAATCAGAGGCTATGCAATAGTCCAGACAGGTGATGGGAGTGGCCCTAATAGGCAGAGGTAGCCGAGTTGGTCATTGTTAAAGTCCAGGTAGTTTTGGTTTACAGTGTTTGTTTGTTTGTTTTGTTTTTAATTGGGGAATTGGGGAAGGGGAACAGTGTTGAGGAATTGGGGAAGGGGAATATCCAAGTTGTTGTCCTTCAGTCTTAGCTGTGGAGGGTGCAGCTGGCTCAGCATCAAGTCCAGTTGCCATCTGGCTGCCCATTGGCAGCTCGTGGGCCACTCAGCTCAAGGTGCCATGTTCAATTTTAGTTGCAGGTGGGTACAGCCCACCATCCCATGAGGGAGTCAAACCGGCAACCTTGATGTTAAGAGCACGTGTTCTCACCAGCTGAGCCTTCCTGCCACCTGTTGACAGCTCAGTGGCAGCTCAGCTCAGGTGCAGCTCACTGGATCATGTGGGAATCGAACCAGCAACCCTGTTGCTCAGTGTGCACGCTCTTAACCAACTGAACCACTTGGCGGGCCCTACAGTTCTCCTTTTTGATTGAATTTATCAGTTTAGTAGTGTCATTGCTTGGAATTACCTGATCTGTAAAGACACTATGCAATGACATAGCACATGTCACTTAGTAAACTTTCTGTTGGGGAATCAAATCAATACTGACAAACTCCCATTGAAATGAGAGGGATGTAGTCTGTGTTTATGGGAGGTGTGTGTGTGTGTGTGTGATGTGATGTACACACTCACACATTTAATCTGATTCAGAGAATTTAGATATTAAATAGAAATTTGGGCCATGGTATTGGAAATAAATACCTACATTCTCAGTATATATATTTGTTCCAAAATGTTACTTCTTTTTTTTTTAAGATTTTTATTTACTTATTTTTTTAATTGGGGAATTGGGGGGATGGGAACAGTGCTGGGGAATTGGGGGAAGGGGAACAGACAAGTTGCTGTCATTTTGTTCTTCAGTCTAGTTGTGGAGGACATTGCTTCACTGGCCCAAGTTGGCACCATCATTGCGCTCTTCCCGGGTGAGGCAGATCAGTCGCCAGCTTCTGGACGGCCGCTCACTGTGGCTGCTGGCCACTCACGCTGGCTGCTGGCTACATAGGGTAGCCCATGACAACCCACTGCCGCAGGGGCTGCAGCCTACGCCGTCGCCAGCGACTCACAGCAGCCCAGCTCCAGGTTGAGCTGTTGTTCAGCATCTTAGCTGTAGAGGACAGTGTCACTGGCCCTCATATGTGGGATCCGAACCGGGGCCCTCTGGTGTCCCAAGCCAGTTCTTAACCAATGTTACTTCTTTTTTGATAATTATCCCCTGGAACAATGAAGAGTTTCTGTGTTTTACTCTATCCAGAGCATATTTTGCCATCTCATAGAGATACACGGCCTTTCCTTTGCATTCATTATTAAGGGAATCACAGTGATACTGTTCTAGCTCTAGGAAAACAATTATTTCAGGAGCTTCATTTAGCCCTAGCGAGATTCAACTAGAGTGACATTTAATAGTATATGGGGATGTGAGATGTTAGTATAGTATGTGGGAATGGGGTAGCTGGTGCAATAAACAATTCAGCTTGGAAATAACACCTGAATAATAAAATCTGATTTAATTCAGAAGATGTTTTTCTGACTTGTAGAAAAGGGATAAGCTAAATATGATTATGGACTCATAGTAGAGTGTAATTGTTAAAAGGATAGACCTCAGAGTCAGATTTTCTGGGTTCACATTCTGGATCTACTATTTACTTTTCCTGGTGATATTAGGGTAGCTAAGCTTTCCGGGATTTTATTTTCTTATATGCAAAATGGGGCCAATAACCTTTCTTATAGGAATGTTGAGAAGATTAAATGTGATAATTTATATAAAGCAACAGAGCGTGGTATAGAGTAGATGCTAAATAAATTTATTGGTACAGTGCAATGAAAGGAAAGACTCTAGAAGAGCTGTTTGGAAATCTGCCTTGATGGTTAGTTACACATCCAAATAAAATTTATAAATGCACTGAGAATCTCAAGATGCTATACAAATATGAAGTAGTATTATATTCATATAATAAATATCAAAGAATTGTGTGAAATGCACATTTTTATCTTGCCGTGTTTCTCTGTATGCATGTTTGACAAACAGTTGTCTTTCTTATTTAAAACATTTAGAAAGAGCCTATAGCCTTTATCAGTATTATTTTAAATACTATACATTTCATTTTGCATGAGAAATTCAAAGAATTTTTTATTTTGTGGAGTGTTTTGGATAGTAGCCATCTATTATCGCTTATGTTATTTTCTGATTTTTTTTAAGGTGGTTTTTTTTTTTTTCCCTGCATCTGGAGGCATGGGTAGCAAGAAACTAAGACGAGTGAGTTTATCACAAGAGCTGTGTGATCGTCTGAACAGACATCAGATTGTTACCTGTCAGGTAAAATTTATTTACTTTTTTCCAATGAAAACTTTAAGTACAAATTAATTTTAAATGTACCTTAATAACTCTTAAATAAGCCTGAAATATGAAAACGTAGGTTTATAGAAAAAAAGGATAAATGATGGTGTTTCTACATAGGCTAATTTTAAACAACAAGCCACCTGGGTTATACTTCCAAACATGATTTCATTTATCCCACTTCAATATTTTTGCATGTTGTGGGGGGGGATGCTCATGGCATAAGGTGAAGTACACCTGTGCCATTGGGGATCGGAGAGAAGTTTTACCTACTTACAAGAAATTTTGTAGTTACATGAGAAATATGACTAAAATGAGGACATGGTATTCAAAATGCATAATTCCTCTTGAAAACAAGAGACGTTAATAGGATCATTTATTTTCCTATTGATGGAGAGAACTGTATAGAGAAGAAATTGTATTTTTAAGCATAATAGTGAAGCATATCTCTTTTGGGTTAAATAAGACTTAAGGTTTTAGATTAGGATTTAATGAATTCTATTTAATTAGATGGAATTTTACTTTAATTAAATAATTAAATAAAATTTTAATTTAATAAAATTTTAATTTAATTACAATTTAAAACAGACTTTCAGAGCATGCTGCAATTTTGAAAAAAATTGCTTCATGTGTTAAAGGTATCTTTGGGTCCTCTGTTATGCATTTAATAATCCTCATGTTCATACTTTGAAATGCTCTCAAAAATGTGAAATTTAACATTTCATTCCATAGTCAGTTTTATTCCCTCAGTGTGATCAGATGCTGCAGCTGAATGATCTTATATAGCTTAGGAGAAACTCATTTCAACCTGGCACTTTGTGGGCATCAGTTTGTACCCAAACTCTTTCAGGCACAAGTGCAGTGAGTATATATACACCTGGGCTGGATGCTGCTGCTAAATGATGTTACTTGGTGTGCCCTCTGGTATATGCCAACTAACTTGGATAATTACAGACAAGACTACCATCATATCTTTTAGTTAAGGCATATTTAGGAAGGGAATATTATATGGAACACATAAATCTTTGATCTGCAATACATTTCACTTTTATCTACATATGGACAGTATCAGTTGAAATTTTCCTTTTAATTCCAATATCTTTGTTGCTCATATATATTTAAAATATTCTTTTTCTGTCTCTTTAGGACTTTTTGTGTCTTTCCCCACTGGAGCTTATGAAGATGACTGGCCTTAGTTATCGAGGTGTCCATGAACTTCTGTGTATGGTCAGCAGGGCCTGTGCCCCACAGATGCAAACGGTATATATATTTTTAATGATGATTTGATTATGATTTTTATTTTCAAATGATTCTTCATCTCATTTACAGTCTTCTTTTGGGATGAAGCAAAAGCAAAAATAGATATGAGTACCTCAAAAATATTGACTCTTTCACCAGAGTTAGTCCTCTAATGAGAATATATGTGAGAAATTTATGTAGTGTATAAGCTCATGGGAGATAGGTAATAATTTAGGAATGAGGGGGCAACAGAAAGTTTTTTTCTCTGTAGCTGATAGTGATATTTCAAAAGGTCACCATTCTCTTTATTTGGGTAGGATTTGTGGACTTCATGGTTAAATTATAATATACTTTTTTTTTTTTTTAAGATTTTATTGGGGAGTTGGGGGAGGGGAACAGTGCTGGGGAATCGGAGGAAGGGGAACAGACAAGTTGCTGTCGTTTTGTTCTTCAGTCTAGTTGTGGAGGACNCGGCCACTCCTATTGGACAATGGAGGGAAGATGCAAATAAAGCGCCATATTTGTTTGGGTCACGTGACACCACCTCCCCAGTCTAAAGGAGGAAAGAAGGCTCGGAAAGAGTAAATCAGCTACCTGGCTAAGGCTGGTCCTCAGTTTTGACAACTTCTCTGCTCTACACCTCCCGTTCTGCGTTCGGCGGAGCAGGTGGCAGGAAAGCTGTGTTCCTTATTCCCCCCCCCCCCCCCCGCTCTCTTTTCTCTCTAGCGCTTAAAGTCAGCGTTTACAGAGTGCCAGCCAGTGACAGTGCTTTGCCAGGCCTTGGGGGTACCAGAGCAAGATCTGAATCCTCCTCCCTTATAATTCTGTCCACTTGGGCTCTCTTATAATCCCAGAACCCTACCTTCCGAATTCCTATTTTCTTATGTTTAACTCCATTAATTTATTTGCTCATTTACCCGAAACTGTTAATTGAACTGTATGTTAGACTTTAGAAGCTCAATAAGATGTGATCCCTGTCTTCACAGAGCTCACAGTTTAGTGAGGATGCAGATCAATAATTAGAATACGGTGAGCTCAATTATAAGTTAGAGTTATGCACAGGGGGGATGAGAACAAAGAATGGCAAAAGCTTTTCGCAAATACAATAATCTGAAACTGAGTCTTAACGGTTTGAGCAATTTTATACAGGCATTTCCCAAACTATTTCACCAAAGCGTGGTGAAAACAAAAAACCCACGCCAAAACAACCCAAAAGCTCTCTTCAAAATCCTCTTTTATGATAGGTGGATTCTCTCCTATTTCTAGAAAACATACATCTTTGATCCTTTAAAGTAATTTTTAAATGTGGTGACAAAAGAAAGAAAAGAGAAAATTCCAAGCAAGGTTTCTCCTGGCTTCCTACACTCCTTGCTGATGTTCCTGCACTGGATTTCGATAAACACTAGATTGAGAAACTGTGATTTATAAATTTATTATGGAGTGTAAACTACAATTCCCAGCAAGCAGCAAAACCGACCTGAGCCTCTATCCATCTCTGATTGGGTGTTTGCCAGGATGAAGACCCAACCAGCGCTTCGGTTACTGTTTTGTGGCGCTTTACGCGGGGAACTGTGTGAGGGGTGGGGGAAACTTTGAAAGTTGGATGCTGCAGACCCGGTACTGGAAAGTTTCATCTTGGGGGCAATCGTGGGGACGTGGGGTGCGCTCTTTATTTTCTGCTTCCTCTCTGGGCCCGTGGTATTGATATTGGGGAAGCGGAGAGTTTCTTGGGTGCAGGGCACGTCCCCGTAAGCGTATAGGGATCTTACCAAGAACCTTGCCGCGGATCTGGGGGCTTGGTGTTTTTTTTTGGTGGGATTGCATGGAAGCATCTCCTTGTTTTTGTTTTTTAAAAAATCTCTTTTTAAGGGATTCTGGGGTGATGTTTTCGCTTCTTGATGTTCACCTCCCTCCTTCGGGCAGTTTGGGGTCTAGGTAGGGGACCCGATGATTAGGGGAAGTGTAGGGTCTGCCTTCCTTCAGGTGGTGGTGAAGAGAGGTAGATAATAGCGTGGAATCAATCTGGAGTCAGACCTCTGGATTCCAGTGCGGAACTCACCATATGCTAGCTGTTAGACTTTGCGAAAGTTTTTGTACTCAATGCCTCAGTATTATTAATCTGCAAAATGGGGTAAAACAGTCGAAGCGCTCGCAACAGTGTATGGGACGTAATAAGGGCTCAATAAACATTAGTTGTTATTGTTACTTAACGGTTTTCATTGAACATCTAACATGAGGATTTTTCTTTTCTTGATGAGGACAGGATTGAATGTCTTTCCTCATCTCCCATTCATATGAACGCGTGCACACAACACAGAGCAGGAATTTATAATCTGGTGGAACGATCAAACGTGCAAGCCATAATAATACGTTAATAAGATTATTGGGAAATATGTGCAAAGTGATGAGAACATTGGAGAAGACACTGAGTTGGTGGAAGGCTTTGTGGAGGAAAGTCAGGGAGGCAGGATGGGGCTTGTATAGGAGAGCAGGTCATGTGAGGCAGCAAAGGATGTTTTGCTGAATGAATTGATAATGATAATGTTTGTTAACCTTGAGAACTATGTGCCGGGCATTATCCAAATCCTTTAACCTTCACTACATTCCTACTGTGTAAATATTTAAATTACCCTTGTTTTACAGATGAGGAAACTAAGACAGTGGTAGGTGAAATAACT